TTCTTAGGAGGCAGGAGCCTGGCTTTACAACTTTAGGAAGGTTGTCAAGCTCAAGACTTGATATGAAGAGGGTACCTGCGTAATATTCAAAGAGCAAGAAATCTCAGTTAGCCTGAACATTGCCAAAGCATTCTAGTATGTCCAAATTTTTCTCTCAAATACTTTTTGCATACCAGGGAATGGGACAAGGAATGGTGCTTTAAATCTTGCTGACTTCTGGAAGTCAGGAGGGACTCCCCTTAGAAGTGTTAAGAGCCAGGGGTGTCTCAGCCAAGTCATGAGCAGGGTATTATGTTCCGCCAAACCCCAAGTGAAAGCCTGTATGTGCAAGCATTGCTTCAATGAATATTAACTGACATTCAGTAAGCCACATACATTGAAGTGTACAACCTGATCAGTTTCGTACTGATAAGTATGTACCCATGAAACCATTACCAATCAAGGTAAGTGGACATACCCCTCAGTCTCAAAAATTTCCTTTTCCCTTTGAAATTCCTATTTCCCATCCCCCTCTGCCCTCCTCCTCCTCCAAGGCAGCCACTGATCTCTTTTCTGTCATTGTAGATTAGTTTGCAGTTTCTAGAATTTTATATTAATACAGTATGTACTCTTTTTTGTCTGGCTTTTTTCACTCAGCGTACTTATTTGGAAATTCATCCATGTTGCATTTATCAACAATTCATTCCTTTTTATTGCTGAGTAATATTCCATTGTATGATTATACACAATTTGCTTCTCTGTTATCTTTTTATTGGATATTTGGGTAGTTTCCAGGTTTTGACTATTACAAATAAAGCTGCTATGAATACTTACCTATAAGTTTTGCATAGACGTTTGATTTCATTTCTCTTGGGTATATATCCAGGAATGGAATGGCGAGTGTATGCTTAACTTTTGTAGAAACTATCAAACTTTCTCCAAACAGTTGTAGTTATTTTACTTTCCCACCAGCGGTCCCTAGTTTCAGTTCCTCCACACCCTTGCCACCACTGGGAGGGGCAGTCTTTTTAGGCGTTCCAATAGGCAAGCACTGGTATCTCATTATAGTTTTAATTTGCATTTCCGTAGTGACTAATGATGTTGAGCATCTTTTCAGGTGCTTATCTGCCATCTATATATCTTCTTAGTAAAGTGCCCCCCTTTTATGATGTTATTTGCTTTCTTATTACTGACAAAACATAACTTTCGATCACACAACAGTTTTTTCTTGTGCATGCATATGATATCAGTAGAGTTAGGTTTAAAAAGTTTTAAGACTATGTACAAGTGCACAAATATATATAGAGAGACAAACACACACTAATCAGCTCAGGAAAGAGTTTTGCAATATTTGATGTTAAAGAATAAAATCCTCTGAAGCCTAATATCTAGTATCAGCAGGGAAGAGTTAGTTGCCTAGCTGTATCTGACCACAGAGGTTTCCCTTTCAACACAGAAAAGCCTAGAGCCCAGTGTGTTGCTGGCTGTGAACTAACAGGAAATATTGCTGCAACTGATAGGGGATGAGTGGTGGTGCAGTAAGCAGGGTTTTCCTGTGGTAACAAGATAGCTAGTCCAAAGGTGGTAAGCACCAAAGCTATCCACAACAGAGCAGAGTACTTAAGCCATGAATTTAGAAGACAAGCAGACCTGAGTTTGAATCTCCTTGGGCTACTGGTTCAGGGTTCTTGGGCAATTTGATTAATTTCATTTTCTTTATTTGCAAAATAGGGATGAAGCTGCCTCACATGATTGTGGTACAAATTAAATATAAAATGTATGTGGTATGTACCAAAGTCCCTGGCACTCATAGTCAATGCTAACTATAACTCCATCTCTTACTGTGAAGGGGAAGTTTAAAGTGGGGGGCTAAGAGCATCAACTCTGTAGCCAGCCAAACTGGGATAGAGCCCTGACTCTGACAATTCTTAGCTGTGTGACCCTGGACAAGTCACTTCTCCTCTCTGTGCCACAATTTCCTCACCTGTAAAATGGGAATAATATGGTATAAATCTTCAACAGTTGTTATGAACATTAACTGAATTCATATCTGCAAAGTACTTAGAATGGTGTAGCAGGTAAAAGGGTGGTAGCTGATAGGAAATGCTTGCTATCTCAGCTGCAGCAGAATTCCTGAGCTCAGGTCAGTGGCTGGAAATTCTGTCATTCACAGTACTTCACCAACAGCTATTTATAGAGCACCTGCTATGCATGAGCCCTGAACTAGGTTTTAGGAGGGATGGAACAGACTGTAAAATTGTAAAACAGACATGTTTCTGACCCTACAGAAGACAAACTCTAAAACAGGAAGGATAGGTGATGCTCCAACCAGCTGAGTATGCAACTACTTCTAACTGCCTGGTACAAACAGATGGTAGAGAAATTCAGAGGCCTAAGATTCCACCATGGAAGTGGAGGGAAGTACAAAGAGACAGTGGGGAGCTAAGGCATTAAGCTGCTCCTTGAAGAAGGAATCAGAATGAGAGATCCAGAGCCAGGGAGTGTTCTAGGCCTTGGGGTGCATGAGCCAGAGGAGGTGACCGAAACCTGATGGTCCTCCCAAGGACCACTGAGAGGGCAGTATGTCTGCCGTGGAAGACGGGCACAGGAGAAATCAGTTAGGAAAGGCAGGTGGGGGCCTGTTGGTGATCAGCAGGGTCCAAAGAAAGGAAACTAGGATTTGTTGGGTGCCCTCACAGGTACTTACAGGTATTATGACAGTAGTCCCAATGGCAAACCTACAAGGGGGACATTATTACTCCCATTTGAGGAATAAGGAAACCCATACACAGACATGTTACAAATGCAGTAAGTCACAGCCTGGGCATTCAAACAGGTCCCAGGCCCCCACAGCACAGCACTTCCTGCTACACCCCACGACCTCCCATCCGCACCCATGTGCACACACCCCCTGAAACTCAATGGAGCCCAAATGGAGTCAGGCAGCAAGTTCAGTATCATCAATGCTCATTTCCCATCCTTGTTTCTCTCCTCCAGGGATTTTACCTTCCCTCAGCCCTGAACCCAAGCCAGAATCCCTGAAGGTTATCAGTGATTATTTCAAGCTAAGTTTATGTTTTTTAGCAAGCTTTGCCTAACTTTCTTTCATCTTCCCCCATTCTTTCCTTACTAATGTCTCCTACTCCACGTTACACAGTTTTGAAACTCCTTAGTCAGAGCAGAGCATCAAGTGGAACTTGATAATTCTTTCTGTGGTTTTTCTTTTAACTTAAAGGCTGATATAGGGTGGCAGCATGGAAGGGATTATCCATGTGGGCTTCACACAGAAGCCAAAGGAAATGATGTCAGTGCTCTGTTTAGCTTCCTCTAATGTCTATCAAGCAGCACTGGGAAACTTCATTATTGTAATCTAAACAAGTTCCTCATTATGCTTAGTCATCCTCTGCTGGTAGAATTCTAGTCACCACATATGTCTGTGTATCTGTGTGTGCCTACAAAAGACACTTAACATCTTTCTTAAACAATTCATTTTATTGTGCTTCACTTTATTGTGTGTCACATATATCGCATTTTTTACAAATTAAAAGTCTGTGGCAACCCTGTCAAGCAAGTCTATGGGCACCATTTTTCCAACAGCATTTGCTCACTTTGTGTCTGTGTCATATTTTGGTGCTTCTCACAATATTTCAAACTTTTTTCACTTTATTATTCTACTTGCTATGGTGATCTGTGATCAGTGATCTTTGATGTTACTGTTGTAATTGTTTGGGGCACCAGAAACTGTACCCACATAAGATGGCAAACTTGATGAACAAATGTAGGCATTCTGACTGCTCTACCCACTGGCCATTCTCCAATTTCTCTCCCTCTCCTTAGGCCTTCCTATTCCCTGAGATAAAATTGAAATTAGGCCATTTAATAACCCTATAGCCCCTAAACATTCATATGAAAGGAAGAGTCACTTGTCTTTCACTTTAAATAAAAATTAGAACTGATTAAGCTTAATGAGGGGGGCATGTTGAAAGCTGAGACAGACTGAAAGTCAGGCCTCTTGCACCACAGTTAATTGTGAATGCAAAGGAAAAGATCTTGAAGGAAATTTAAAAGTGCTACTCCAGTGAACACACAAATGATAAGAAAGTGAAATGCCTTACTGCTGACATGGAGAAGTTTTAGTGGTCTGGATGGAGGATCAAACCAGTCACAACATTCCCTTAAACCAAAACCTAATCCAGAGCAATGCCCTCTCTTCCATTCTATGAAGACTGAGAGAGGTGAGGAAGCTGCAGAAGAAAGGTCTGAAGCTAGCAGAGGTTTAAGGGAAGAAGCCATCTGCATAATATGAAAGTGCAAAGTGAAGCAGCAAGTGCTGATGTAGAAGCTGGAACAACTTATCCGGAAGATCTAGCTAACAACAGATTTAGTGCAGCTCAGATCCTTGTGGATTTGTCTATTATCATGCCTGAAAGGGCATAAGCATGATTTCTAAGCCCAAGAGGTTCAGACGTAGCATCTGTACCTGTACTCTAAAGTTGGCAAGTGACACATTCATTCCACCAGGAAGAATCAATTGCTCATATTAGAAAGCCATAACGATGCTTTCAATTCTCCACAGACCCTTTGACAAATGTGCAGATTGTATAATGCAAATTCCAAGGAGTGACAGTCACCTGGACTGCAGTGTGAATTGTTGAGCAGTGCATACTATGCTCAACCATACATAGCAGCCCTTCAGAAGGAAACTTATTTTCCCTAAAGGGAATATTTTCTGCATCCTTTATGGTTAATGGCCATGCAAGGATTCTTTTGCTTGCCTGATCTTATAAATTAAAAATCAGTGTCCATATGGACTGCACATCTCTTCCTATTTCATAAGCTTTATCTTTATTTTCCCCATATTTTATTATTCCCTAGAATAGACTGACTTTGTTTCAAAAAATCATAAAATTATTGGGATGACTTGAAATGAGAGATGGTATTATTCTCCATAAGTGAAAGTGGGTTGTAGAAAAGGAGACTCATTGATAGAAGGTAAAACATCAGAGACATCACATCAAAAAGACAGTAAACAAGGTCATGTTTATTTCAAAACAGAGTTGACTCCACATTAATAAATACTTTTAACACTGAATGTAGAAAACCTACTATGCATGTTCCAAGAAGACAATTTACTAACAAATCAGAGAGCAGGTGGCCTTTTACCTGTAGGCCATTGGTAAAGTAATCCGAGAGTAGGAATAGCCTCGTGGATATCATGTGGAATTGGGGAAGGGAAAGAGAAGAGTTGATGAAAGCAGGAAGAATTTTTTAGCCTCCTTTCCTCACTGGGAAACTTAAAATTGAAAATCTGAAGTTAGAAAATACACCTTCACACACATCCATTTCTTTCTCAATTTTGGATTAGAATCACTAGTTAGTGGACAGAGTCAAAAATTGGAAACAGGTACCGAATCTGAATGTAGGGCAGATGGCTCTGGTTGATAATGAGTTCATGAGGCCCCTGGAAAGCCAAGCGGAGCTGCTCTAGCCTGGGCTTAACACTCAGGCACAACCACAGATCAGTAACTATAGAACTGAAGGTGCTGCACAATGTTGACAGCTTCCTCCAGGAGGCTGGTGTACATTTAAATCATTCCAGTGCTGTCTTTGTATAAACCGATCATCCCATCTGCCGGCCTGTGGTTACAGCCCCGGTGCCCTCTGGAGCTGTGGGGACACATTAGCTAGGCAGCTGCCCAGGCTCCTCACCCATGTAGAGAGCCCACGGTGCAAATTCATCTAGGCACTTTTATCTGAAAACATTAAAATGAACAGAATCTTGAAGACTTGGAGTTCCCCCTCCTCATTTTAATCAATGGTAGAGAAATGCTCCAGAAAGGGACAAAAAAGCCTTCTCAGATCAGCCCCAAGTAGAAGTGACACCTGCCGTGGGTGGTTTCAGGACATGGAAAAGACCTTCTGCCATTCCTGCCTTCCTCAGGTCTTTTTCTTGGATGACGTAAGTCCCAGGCTGTACTAAGTGATGGGAAGCTTCCACCTATAAGCCAGAGCACAGCGCCGGCTCCCAGGAAACTGCTGGGCAGAGTGGGGAGGAAGGGAGTTCCCCTTCGCTTTGACACACCATCCCAGGGCCAAGAGCGGGGGAAGGTGGTGAACAGGAAAAAAGGTTTATCCCTCATACTCTTAGTACAGAGTGGAAACAGTTTCAAAGGTAAGAACTGGCTCAGGTTCTGAGGTTCAAGACTTAGCCACCAGCTGGATGAATAGAGAGAGACACTGACGTCATGGGTTTTAGAATCAAAGGCTTTCAGTTTTTAAGCTAGGGAAGACCTCAGGGGTCTCCTAGTTTCCACGTTACACAGTTTTGAAACTCCTTAGTCAGAGCAGAGCATCAAGTGGAACTTGATAATTCTTTCTGTGGTTTTTCTTTTAACTTAAAGGCTGATATAGGGTGGCAGCATGGAAGGGATTATCCATGTGGGCTTCACACAGAAGCCAAAGGAAATGATGTCAGTGCTCTGTTTAGCTTCCTCTAATGTCTATCAAGCAGCACTGGGAAACTTCATTATTGTAATCTAAACAAGTTCCTCATTATGCTTAGTCATCCTCTGCTGGTAGAATTCTAGTCACCACATATGTCTGTGTATCTGTGTGTGCCTACAAAAGACACTTAACATCTTTCTTAAACAATTCATTTTATTGTGCTTCACTTTATTGTGTGTCACATATATCGCATTTTTTACAAATTAAAAGTCTGTGGCAACCCTGTCAAGCAAGTCTATGGGCACCATTTTTCCAACAGCATTTGCTCACTTTGTGTCTGTGTCATATTTTGGTGCTTCTCACAATATTTCAAACTTTTTTCACTTTATTATTCTACTTGCTATGGTGATCTGTGATCAGTGATCTTTGATGTTACTGTTGTAATTGTTTGGGGCACCAGAAACTGTACCCACATAAGATGGCAAACTTGATGAACAAATGTAGGCATTCTGACTGCTCTACCCACTGGCCATTCTCCAATTTCTCTCCCTCTCCTTAGGCCTTCCTATTCCCTGAGATAAAATTGAAATTAGGCCATTTAATAACCCTATAGCCCCTAAACATTCATATGAAAGGAAGAGTCACTTGTCTTTCACTTTAAATAAAAATTAGAACTGATTAAGCTTAATGAGGGGGGCATGTTGAAAGCTGAGACAGACTGAAAGTCAGGCCTCTTGCACCACAGTTAATTGTGAATGCAAAGGAAAAGATCTTGAAGGAAATTTAAAAGTGCTACTCCAGTGAACACACAAATGATAAGAAAGTGAAATGCCTTACTGCTGACATGGAGAAGTTTTAGTGGTCTGGATGGAGGATCAAACCAGTCACAACATTCCCTTAAACCAAAACCTAATCCAGAGCAATGCCCTCTCTTCCATTCTATGAAGACTGAGAGAGGTGAGGAAGCTGCAGAAGAAAGGTCTGAAGCTAGCAGAGGTTTAAGGGAAGAAGCCATCTGCATAATATGAAAGTGCAAAGTGAAGCAGCAAGTGCTGATGTAGAAGCTGGAACAACTTATCCGGAAGATCTAGCTAACAACAGATTTAGTGCAGCTCAGATCCTTGTGGATTTGTCTATTATCATGCCTGAAAGGGCATAAGCATGATTTCTAAGCCCAAGAGGTTCAGACGTAGCATCTGTACCTGTACTCTAAAGTTGGCAAGTGACACATTCATTCCACCAGGAAGAATCAATTGCTCATATTAGAAAGCCATAACGATGCTTTCAATTCTCCACAGACCCTTTGACAAATGTGCAGATTGTATAATGCAAATTCCAAGGAGTGACAGTCACCTGGACTGCAGTGTGAATTGTTGAGCAGTGCATACTATGCTCAACCATACATAGCAGCCCTTCAGAAGGAAACTTATTTTCCCTAAAGGGAATATTTTCTGCATCCTTTATGGTTAATGGCCATGCAAGGATTCTTTTGCTTGCCTGATCTTATAAATTAAAAATCAGTGTCCATATGGACTGCACATCTCTTCCTATTTCATAAGCTTTATCTTTATTTTCCCCATATTTTATTATTCCCTAGAATAGACTGACTTTGTTTCAAAAAATCATAAAATTATTGGGATGACTTGAAATGAGAGATGGTATTATTCTCCATAAGTGAAAGTGGGTTGTAGAAAAGGAGACTCATTGATAGAAGGTAAAACATCAGAGACATCACATCAAAAAGACAGTAAACAAGGTCATGTTTATTTCAAAACAGAGTTGACTCCACATTAATAAATACTTTTAACACTGAATGTAGAAAACCTACTATGCATGTTCCAAGAAGACAATTTACTAACAAATCAGAGAGCAGGTGGCCTTTTACCTGTAGGCCATTGGTAAAGTAATCCGAGAGTAGGAATAGCCTCGTGGATATCATGTGGAATTGGGGAAGGGAAAGAGAAGAGTTGATGAAAGCAGGAAGAATTTTTTAGCCTCCTTTCCTCACTGGGAAACTTAAAATTGAAAATCTGAAGTTAGAAAATACACCTTCACACACATCCATTTCTTTCTCAATTTTGGATTAGAATCACTAGTTAGTGGACAGAGTCAAAAATTGGAAACAGGTACCGAATCTGAATGTAGGGCAGATGGCTCTGGTTGATAATGAGTTCATGAGGCCCCTGGAAAGCCAAGCGGAGCTGCTCTAGCCTGGGCTTAACACTCAGGCACAACCACAGATCAGTAACTATAGAACTGAAGGTGCTGCACAATGTTGACAGCTTCCTCCAGGAGGCTGGTGTACATTTAAATCATTCCAGTGCTGTCTTTGTATAAACCGATCATCCCATCTGCCGGCCTGTGGTTACAGCCCCGGTGCCCTCTGGAGCTGTGGGGACACATTAGCTAGGCAGCTGCCCAGGCTCCTCACCCATGTAGAGAGCCCAAGGTGCAAATTCATCTAGGCACTTTTATCTGAAAACATTAAAATGAACAGAATCTTGAAGACTTGGAGTTCCCCCTCCTCATTTTAATCAATGGTAGAGAAATGCTCCAGAAAGGGACAAAAAAGCCTTCTCAGATCAGCCCCAAGTAGAAGTGACACCTGCCGTGGGTGGTTTCAGGACATGGAAAAGACCTTCTGCCATTCCTGCCTTCCTCAGGTCTTTTTCTTGGATGACGTAAGTCCCAGGCTGTACTAAGTGATGGGAAGCTTCCACCTATAAGCCAGAGCACAGCGCCGGCTCCCAGGAAACTGCTGGGCAGAGTGGGGAGGAAGGGAGTTCCCCTTCGCTTTGACACACCATCCCAGGGCCAAGAGCGGGGGAAGGTGGTGAACAGGAAAAAAGGTTTATCCCTCATACTCTTAGTACAGAGTGGAAACAGTTTCAAAGGTAAGAACTGGCTCAGGTTCTGAGGTTCAAGACTTAGCCACCAGCTGGATGAATAGAGAGAGACACTGACGTCATGGGTTTTAGAATCAAAGGCTTTCAGTTTTTAAGCTAGGGAAGACCTCAGGGGTCTCCTAGTTCAACTCATTCATTTTCCAGAAAAGGAACCTGAAGTCTGGAGAGATTAAGCCAAGTACCCAGGTCACATAGCTTGTTATATCTGCTTGAGGGGCATGGAGAGTGACAGAAAGGCTTCAGTGAGCAATGTGGTCGGTGCAGTAAACATCACATGGCATGTGGTTAGTTACATTCAGAACCTCTGCAGATGACAATTTCCCACCCCCGGGCCCTTTCTTGTTGACTTGTCACCAAAAGGGGACAGGTTCTGGACAGAGCTTATCTGTGGGCTTCCCTCAGGAGGGTGATAACCTGCAGGTGTGTCCTCACTTCCCAGTCCGGGAGGCCACCTGGATGGCCTTGATCCACTCAATGCGCTCCTTGGGAGTGGCCGCTTGCAAGAAATAATGAACTTCATCAGCTGTGATGATCTCGAAGAGGTTCTCGTCTTCAGTCTTCCTGCCTGGTTTAAAAGAAAGTGAGCGACAGTGAGCATGCGCACTGGATAGGCCACCCAGTTCACCCTCCTTCTGCAAGGAATGAAATCCCTAATTTTTGAGTGCCCTAAGAATATTAAATATGTGGTTTTCAAACTTAACATTATTTTATGATCATATACAGTCACTACATAATTATGTTTATAGTATTTATATAGATACTATATAGTATAATCATATGTGTGTGTGTGTACATTTATGAAATAAATAAAACAGTCAAGGAGAAACATTTTCTTTTATAGTTTAAAAGCAAACTAGATTTCTCACTTTTGCACACCAGTAGTGTCTAATGAGTACATTTTCTCTGCTCAGAATATAAACCAAGGGCTGAGTCTGATTTTTTAAAGATACACAGTATACCTGTATACCACCAGCCCACCAGTATAGCCTGAACTTGGTTTTATCAAGGGGCAAAGTTTGAGTCTCTGCTGAAAGATCAAAAGGCAATAAACTGGCCAATACTGTGACAAGACTTAAAACATCCACCTCAAATCAAAAGAGAAACACACTCCCTACCTCCAAATGGAAGCATCATTCTATGGGGAGAAGGCAGCGAGCAGATTCAGTAGTAAAAATCTGGGCTTATGCAGCTGTAATGTTTTCCTGGCAGCCTCTAAAATATCATCAGCCCAAAATGACAAGGCAAAACCAGAGTTTCGATGTCTAAACCACGTCTGCCCAGTGATACTTTCATCCCCACACCTGAGAAGTCAATCCAACCAACATGAATCATAGACTCATAACCTGGGACCCAGAGGTCGTCTGGCAGAACCCCCTCGCTCTCAGAGGAGGACCTCAGACCCAGATCAGTTAAGCAATCCACCCAAGATCCTGCCGCTAACTGAGTGGCACAGACCTAACTATAACCTAGGGGCACTTTCCACTCCCCACACTGCCCCACTGTGCAGATATCCCTATCGTTGTGGGAGATCTCGTTTAAGGATGTAAAAGGGATTCCCCTTTAAGGAATGTCATAGTTCAATTACAGAGTCAGGAGGTAGTAAGTCTCTCCATCAAAGCCAGTTCTGAGGTAAAGGTTTTGTCAGCTTTGCTCAGGGATTTATTCAAGTCATCCACAAAGCCACACCTACTCCCCAAGACTCCAAGAGCCAGGGCATCGTTGGGAGAGAATAACTCTTGGTCTTTCCCAGGTTTTCAGACAGAAATTCATTCACACTATGCCTGACTGATTGCATAATTGACTGTGGCTGACTCAGGATGTCCCAGGTGTGGGAAGGGAATCTGAGTAGATGTACTTCTTTCAAACAAAAATTCATTCTTACCATCTAGGTTGCTCTCCACTGAAGTCACCACACAGCCTCTCAAGCGGATGGCTCCCAGGGGATCTTCCCCCTAGCGGAGAGCGGAATCCTTTGTTATGTTTCCAAAGAACAATGTATTGGATATACCTTATCTTATTAGTGCAAAGGCCACATAGACTCACTCTGGTATAATCAGGGCTCCCAAAATAGGTAAGAGCAGAAGGAGATTAAAGGGAACCCTTCTAGATTCTCCACCTCCCACTTCACCCAGGGAAGTTGGATGAAGAGACACAAGTCAGTCTGAGCTTCCTGTCCGAGGAAAAGTTCCAGGGGAGGTATGGAGGCTGAATCACCACATCCCACGAAAGAAGAGCTGTGGGTTTCCAGAGCTCTTTGGCTGCATGCAGCTGATAGAGTAGTACAACCCTCACAGGAGGGAATCAACAAGCCCTGCACCACACACAGAGGCCAAGGACCCGCCTGGGTGGAACTGTCTCTATGCTTTAGAACTGGCTCATTTTATTGAGGAAAAAACCCTCCTCCGCACCATCAACTTCCCAAATGACTGGACCTAAACAATGCTTTCATCCAAGTTGGCCTAAAAGGAATTATCATTTTTTTTTTTTTTGCCTATTAAACCAAGAGCAAAGTGTTGGATTAGTTGAGTTCCTCTGACAATATCAGATTGGGGCAAACAAAAAAAATTATGCTGAGTTGACCAAATAAAGGGCAATATAGTGATATTTTCTTCATCCTTGAACTTACACTGGCCCCAAAGCCTAAGATCTTAGATCTTTGCAATAAGAGAGGGCAGGAAAAGGCAGAGGAAGGTGGGAGAAAGAGAAGTAGGAGAGTAAAGAGGAAAAGGGGATATCGACAGAGCAGAAAGGAGAAAAAGAAGCCAGCTACTGGCTGCAGTGGAGGATCCCAGCGGATGGCCTTTGGCCACAGAGTCTTACCCCAGCAGGGTCATAGTAGTGCAGATACGCAGGGTCTTCTCTCAGAATGAATTTTCTCACTTTCCAGTTTTTCCTCCTATGCCCCTATATTCAGGGTCAATGTAAGAAAAGCAATGATGAGTTCTTATCATCACTCTGTACACATAGTACCTACATAATAAGTGTTTGACGAATTGAAAAAAGAAAGAAAAGAGAGATAAATACAAACCCCAGAAGAACCAGGCCCCAACCCACGTCTTGGAGATAGAGATAGCACTAGAGCCAATGAACAATTGGGATGTTATTAAATTATGGATTAGCTTATTTCTAAGATCATCTTTCAACTTGTGTATTATGTAAGAATACTGCATAGAAGCTACTATGTTAGGTAATGGTGAGGCTATAAAGAGGGTTAAGACACAGCCCTACTCTTCAAAGTTTATAACCCTACGTGGAAATATAAAATAGAAAATGTCCAAACCACATAATTGGTATAGATAATGGGTTTCAAAGGAATTAAAGGAGGGAGATGTAATTGTGGGTTTGGGATGTCAGAGGGAACGTCATGAAGAACTACGCTTGGCCAGGTGGGACACAGGGGAGTTCGATGGGTGAATGAGGCAGGTGGGAAGCCTACCGGCAACAGGAAAACAGCAGGGGGAATGCAGGAGACATAGGCAGCCATCCGTGAATAGGACCTGTCTGGCTAGAATGCAGGGCTCATGAGACAGCAGAGGGGAGTGTGGAAAAATGGAAAGGGACTTAATTAAAATTATGCTGAGTTGACCAAATAAAGGGCAATATAGTGATATTTTCTTCATCCTTGAACTTACACTGGCCCCAAAGCCTAAGATCTTAGATCTTTGCAATAAGAGAGGGCAGGAAAAGGCAGAGGAAGGTGGGAGAAAGAGAAGTAGGAGAGTAAAGAGGAAAAGGGGATATCGACAGAGCAGAAAGGAGAAAAAGAAGCCAGCTACTGGCTGCAGTGGAGGCTCCCAGCGGATGGCCTTTGGCCACAGAGTCTTACCCCAGCAGGGTCATAGTAGTGCAGATACGCAGGGTCTTCTCTCAGAATGAATTTTCTCACTTTCCAGTTTTTCCTCCTATGCCCCTATATTCAGGGTCAATGTAAGAAAAGCAATGATGAGTTCTTATCATCACTCTGTACACATAGTACCTACATAATAAGTGTTTGACGAATTGAAAAAAGAAAGAAAAGAGAGATAAATACAAACCCCAGAAGAACCAGGCCCCAACCCACGTCTTGGAGATAGAGATAGCACTAGAGCCAATGAACAATTGGGATGTTATTAAATTATGGATTAGCTTATTTCTAAGATCATCTTTCAACTTGTGTATTATGTAAGAATACTGCATAGAAGCTACTATGTTAGGTAATGGTGAGGCTATAAAGAGGGTTAAGACACAGCCCTACTCTTCAAAGTTTATAACCCTACGTGGAAATATAAAATAGAAAATGTCCAAACCACATAATTGGTATAGATAATGGGTTTCAAAGGAATTAAAGGAGGGAGATGTAATTGTGGGTTTGGGATGTCAGAGGGAACGTCATGAAGAACTACGCTTGGCCAGGTGGGACACAGGGGAGTTCGATGGGTGAATGAGGCAGGTGGGAAGCCTACCGGCAACAGGAAAACAGCAGGGGGAATGCAGGAGACATAGGCAGCCATCCGTGAATAGGACCTGTCTGGCTAGAATGCAGGGCTCATGAGACAGCAGAGGGGAGTGTGGAAAAATGGAAAGGGACTTAATAAAAATAAAAGGCAGGGTTGTCCCTGATGGTGGTTGGTTCTGTTGGAAGGGAAAAGCCTATAATCACATTTTAGGAAGATTAATATAGTAACAACATTCAGGATGGACCAGCTGGCTAGGTTAAAGATAAGCCAGAGGAAAGAAAGATAATAAAGTAAAAAGGAGATCATTAGGAAATGATTGTAACAATCCAAGCATAAAATTAGGGGCTAACATCAGATAGCAACAATGGAGATGGGAAGGAATGATCGTTGTGACAGATGTGATGAAAAAGAATAGGACTTGGTCCTTTGCAATAGAATTAAACACTGACATCAACTGGACTGCGGGTTTTGAGGGCAGGTTTTGCATCTTGTTTCTCTCCTTCCTTTGCCCAGCACTGTCTGGCACATAGAAGCTGTTTCATATCTGTTTGTTATTGCCCTGAATTACCCAGTTTTTCCCATTAGCTTATAGCAGTGTTTTAAATGTCATGGTAAACATGATTTTATGATTTCCCACAGTAAATTCAAATGACTGAAATAACTTCTGAAGCCAAAAAAAAATTAGGTTAGACGATACAGTTTCCATCTTGCTAATCTGAAGACTATTATTTGTTATTTCTAAAGCAGCACATTTTGACAGGCACATAGATGGATTTTCTAGTATGTCATGTTACTTGTATAGAAAACAATAAAACATTTATGATTTTAACAGATAGTGCCTCCTTCATAATGTCGGGTCAAAGGAGTTTAAAGGGAGCTTTCAAGAATGGGTCTAAGTTATTTGGCCAAGCATTTAGTCAGGAGCTTATATTCAAAGAGCCTTTACTTGCCAGAGGTTGGAAGCCAGGAACCCTGTAGAGTCATATGGGAGAACAGAGACTATTTCTATCTGCAGTATCATATCCAGAATGGCTTTTGTAAAGCACCAACTTCTGAAATTCTTTTTCTGAATTCCTGCTCTTTGGCTTGGCTAATCTGTCCCTAGGGTGAGGATACTAAAGGTTCTACCCCACGCCATTTCCTCCTGACCTGTAGTCGCATATGTCACGTTCGCTTATGCAATAACTGGGTGGGTACCAAGTTTCCATGAGTCAGTGGAAGAGGAAGGTAACAGGAGGATGTGAAATCAGCCAAGCCTGGCCAACCATTGCATCGCCTTGAAGCTCTCTCTGGCATCACAATGTGACACATTAAAGAGTCTGATCTGTCCGTCTTTCATTTAATAAGTGTTTCCTGAGATTTTAAGGAAGGCATGCATTCCTGGGGATTTGAAGAATTGTTGTTGATCTGTCAAGGTCATCTACTTATATTCAATTTAGTTTACTCTCCAAGTGTCAACTGTCCACCATTGTAGATCAAGAAGGATGCTGGACTTGGTGGCAGACATGGGAAAAACACATCTAACACATTGTCCCTCTGCATCAAAGAATCTACGTGTGGTTGAGAAACTAATATTTTGTTCATTGTCATAACAGAATTAATTATATAAAAAACAGATTATATTGACTGCAGATTATATTGTTTTCCACACTAACGCCCAATATCATTAATCCTCAAACTTTCTACATTCCCCAAGTGGAATAATTTCCTCTGGGATGGGAGAAATAGGCAGAACTCGGAGGGGGCGAGTTGAGGAGGGCTCGGGGGAGTGGGACCTCCAGCTGAACCCAGTACTTCCCACCTGTGAAGTATGAACACAGGAATCCTTTTTCATGATAAGCCTTCTGTGCAGGGTAACCCTGGTTGACTCCCAGTAGTAGACACAGCACGGTTAGTTTTGTGGTACTTAATGAGGAGATTTTTTAAAGTTCCCTCTAGTGCTTCCGATATGAACCGAGACTATAAATCACTGAGCTAAGAATGGAAAAACTAAAGGAGCCACCAAGTCATATAAAAGAGGTTTCTTTTCCCTCTCCCTCCCACAAAAAAGTTAGAGGAAAGGCAATTGTAAAAGAACAAAATGCCTGAATATACATAGATTTCTATTTTCTTCATGTTAAAAGGAGGCTTATAATGATGACTATGTAAATAGTCGTATTTTGATAGTAGGATAAATAAGCATTTAAGAAAAAGGTTAGCTCTACAGTTCTTGGCCTTGGTCACGCATCAGAATCCCGTGGGGAGCTGTAAAATCTGGACAGTCTGATTTAATTGGCCAATAGTACAATTTTAACAGATTCCCTCCCAAATTACTCTTAATAGCTACCTTCCAGCACTTGTAATCAAAGAGCCAGAATATAGGAATGTTTGGCAAATGAATGAGGAAGCCAGCGATGGGGAAAACTCTGCCCATGGGCAACTGCCAGAACCTTCCCCACATAAGTCTGGCTCTGCTGCTATGCTTTCCTGTAATCTAATCAGTGGTCACCCTGTCACAAAAGTTATTAGAACAGTCTGTGAATTCTTTCTAAATCCTCACTGTATTATTGCTTAGGACCCCTTCTCTCAAAACCTGGTGCTAAGGTAAGTTTTCCACACTAACGCCCCACTTTCTTTGTGAAACTCAAAATCCCTACCTATGCCTATTCTCAACTAGTCCAAAGTCCTTCTTAAATGGAAATATATGCTCAACTTTGATTCTTTCCTCTTCAGCCTAGAAGTTCAGGGCCCTATTAGGATGTAAGTCGAACCTCTCAGTCCTGGGGGGCCTATAGACAGTACACGGAAATCTCATGGAACCAGGTTCTCTCTGTTGTCTACTGAGCAGCTCCTTTCAGACAGCTCACAGAACAGCCAGGAAGGTAAGACCTTGGTCTTCTCAAGCAGTTATGGCTTCTATGACACCATCTGCTAGTATCAGATTGTTTCACTCTGAATATACCTGTTTTCCTGCTACTTCGTCCTCTACCGGGTGCTGGCCCCTGGCCCTGGCTTCCTCACCCAGACTCAGCCCTAGTATTCTCCTACCTCTTGGCATCCTGCATCTTGGCCCCTGGTAACCAACTCGAGCTCTTCAGCCCACCCCAGCCAGCCCTTGCCTCCCAGACATTGACAGGCACCTGGACACCTGGTAACTGCACAGGACTTCCCCCCAGGGTGAGTCCATGCCCTCTGACTGAATCTGAACTTCATCTACTGCTCCTTCTGCTGAGTAGGCTTAAGGCATGCCCTCAATTTGGTCTCACGATGTCATACCCACATGTTAGAATAGTACTTCTTTGCTTTCAATGATATACAATGTTCTTCTTCTGGATGTGGCCTGCTCTGTGTCCTGGTTGCTTTGCAGGGTGGATGGGTGGGCAAATGGAAATACTTTTACTATGAAATATCTCTGTCTTTTGGATGGCATCTCTTAGCCAACTGATTTCCTCCAGCTAATGAAAAGGTCAGGATCTTTGCTAGAATGTCTGTTACCCCCCAAGATATCCATAAAAGAAGAGTTTCCCTATTTCAAGTTGCATCTTCTGCCCTGCCTGCCTCAGTCCTTGTGACCTAATGCCACTTTGATCATCTACTTAGCTATTTGTCTGTCTTCACTCTGTGGGATTCATTTTCTAGTTGACTACTGCCCAAACAAATGGAATACCATTTGGGTAATTTAGGATAGAAAAGACCTGGTAAGAGGGAAAGAGTAGAAGGGAGTCATGGTGGCCACTCACCTGCTTCAGTAAACATCCCTGCTTAATAATGACCCCTCTGAATTCTTCTTTTAGAATCACATCATCATCACTGGAGTTCTCTTCACAGAAGAATCCACTGTCTGGCTATTGGGAACACAAAGGGCAAGTTTATTTAGCCAGTCTAGGTGTCTTGCTACTTGTACTGTCTCCACCTCCACCTCCGCTCCAGCCCCTGGGGTAGATTCTTCTTCTCCTTCCCGCTGTGGTTCATAACCCAACCTGACCCTTCAAGCTTGTGCTGGTTAACTCATTTCCTCTCCTGCTTTTTCTTGTTTCTAGTCACTAGGTATTCTCTTGTCGGTACTCAAGTGTGGTCTTTCAATAGTCTTTCATTTCCTTGGTTTCCCCAAACTATGCTCTAAGTCTAGGTCAGCACATTTCTCCTTTCAAAGACTTCTTTCTTGGGAACTCATGGCCGCAGCCTTGAAGTCAGTATTGGCTAACTTATAACTTATACAACACGATCATTACAGCCTCTGCTATGCAGCTCCTTCTACCTTGCGAAGACCAAGAGCATGTGTCAAAGCTCCTTCTCTGAGGTCAGGAAGGAACTCAGAGTTGCTCAGCTGTAAGTGGGCAGTGAATCACACAGGGGAGGAAGAGCCTCTGTGATGGGTATTTTTAGAATCCCACATTTAAATGGCTAGAAACAACCAGATCAAAGGTCTGAGACAAAATAAAACTCACGGTGGAACTTCCCCCAGAGTGAAATGAAACTCTCTCTGGGACATTCACTTCATTTTTATAAATAGGTTGGTTCTCTTAAGTAGCTTTGTAACTTTAGAGATCTGACCCCAAATAAAAACAAAACTGTCAAATTCCCCTAGAAATCCACCATGGCTGGATTTCTCATATGGCCCAAGATGAGGTCTGTGTTTTGTAACACAGTGTTTCCCAATTTGTGGTAAGCATACTATGGGAGGAATGTGAGATGATTGGGGGAGGGGACATGGATAAACATATTTTGTATTAAGAGTCATATATTTTAACATGTATTTGGAAAAAATACAACTAGCACATTGTGATTTTCCAGATCTCCCTCTAGAAAGGAAGCTCCCAGAGGGCCATGGTTTTTGCCAATTTTTTTTTCCACTGCAGTATCACCTTTGTCTAGGGGAGTGCCTGGCGTGTACTACAGTCCAGTAGGTTTTTCTAAATGAATTACTGCTTGGAATAGGAACAGATATAATAATGTTTTAAATGTCAATTTAAAGAAAACCATTAAAGTTAATGATATTTTCCTTTATACTGGCTCACTGATGGGGCAGGCATGAGGGAGACAGCTGTTAAGTCAGGGACATCAACAGCTCTCGGAAAGGCTGGGCCCTTTCTCACACATATGTGAATACAAAAGGAAACCAACTGAGCATCTGGCCAGGGCAGTGCCCATCACAGGAAGAGTAAATGAGTAGCTTTTGTCACTTACAAAGTAGTAGAAGGCATCGGCATTGTCCAGGAAAGGGTTCTCAGCAGTCCCGTCAGCTGCGTTCTTGGATATGTCTCCAGCAGGCTGCAGGTACCCTTCGTTCAGCAGCGAGGAGGCAATCATGAGGCCTTCCTGGCGATTCCGAACAGACTGGTTAGACACCAGCCAGTCAATGGCACAGTTACCTGAATGGGACCATCAGAGAGAAGGTTAACTCTTCTACCAAGGACCAAGCCACTGACGGTCACCCCTGGAGAGTTCCAGAGCACCCAAGTGTCTGGCTTTTCACATCTTCCCTGTTATTCCCAGAAAGAAAAATGAAATCAGTGGGGTAGATACCTGGAAGCATGGAACCATGTAAAGAGTTTTTTAAAAACATCTACACGCTCACTAACAAGCAATGTGTGTATCCAAGAAATCATTTTCACTAACCCACTCATTTAGTCCATTAATGAACAAACTCAGTGCTAAATGCTGTGATGGGTTTTATGGAGGCTCCGTCAGGGAATCTAAAAGGGACATATGGGAGCTAAGTGTTGTAATATGTGTTTTGCCCTGGGTCCATACAGTGGAGCTACTGGATCAAATCTGCAGGAAGGGGTGGAAAGAGTGGGTGGAGGATGGGCAGCTGTGCATGCACAGTAGGGAAAAGATTCATAGAGGAAGTGACACTGGGCTCACACTTAAAATATGATTTTTGCAAAGTATATGAGGTGAGGGCTTAAAGAAGCCAGCACAAGCTGAACAGGAGTGTGAACAACACACACAAAGGCATGAAGCAGCTCTGCTGAGGGGGAGAGAGAGAAGTTAGTGGAAAGAAGGTACAGGGTAAGTGTGGAGAGCTGCGATGGCATCTTAAGAAATTGGGCAAAGATGAGCCATTGTAAATTGTTAAGAAGGGAAAAACATGATCAGATGTGCATGTCCCAAATTAAAATTTGATGACATCAGTTGCACTGGAATGTCACACCTTTGCAGGGTTTAGTAAGGACTTTGAGAAGTCATGCCATCAACTTTCGGCCTCATGAGAGGACTGCAAAGAGAATCAAGTGAAACTGACCCATCAAGTGGGTTATTAGAAGGCTACAAGAAACCTTTTTGTTAAAACACCATGTTCCATACAATGTAGCCAAGCAGGGAGCCAGTGTAGCGGGCGGTGTGTCCCATGAAAGTGACACACTAGGATACCCCATCCCTGAAACAGCAGTGAAAGCAATATTTAGTGAGCCTTCCATGGATTTGGAAGGTATTTGCCAGCTTTTCTTTTCCTAGGAAGATCAACTAAATACTACTACATTTCTGCTTTTAATCCTCAGTGACGCTGTACAAGGCCAGGGCAGTAATTACAGACCTCATTTTAAAATGAGAAAATTAAGGCTCAGAGAACTCAGGTGACCTCAGGCCTGAGTTACACTGCAATGGATCATCTTCACTTCAAGTGTTCTAATCCTAGATTCGGTATTTGTTCAGCAAAACATGCTGAACTTGAAAGACAGTCTCCTAGCCCCCCTGTCACCTGACATTCTGGGTTCTCCCCACTTGCCAGGAGTTCCTGAGTCTCCACCTCTGCTGTGGGCTTCTCTCTCTCTGCTGAGCCTACCTGATTCATGAAGACCCCACCTGAATTTCTAGAACCCACCTTGACATTCAATGGGGAGGACAAAAGACATTTTAGCCCAATATGCTGGGACTCAGTATGACATTACACAGGAAATAAGTGTGACCTGGACCTTGTGCCCAGATCTACACTGGGAAGGCTTCCTGTCCCTTTGCCAGAGGCTGCCTCGGTGACCTCAGTCCTGCTGGAGTTAGTTAGGGCCCTGCTCTTGCCGGTTTCCCCAATCACTGCCCATTGCTTGATATCTTGATCCCAAATCTTAGCCCTGATTTTTCTGATGCTAACGGGCTACTCTCTGAGGCTGAATTCCCAGGGTACACTACCCTGCAACCACAGATCATCCCCTCGACCCCTCCACCTTCCTGACCCTGACCTCAAGCACCCTGGGGCAGTTCAGTTCCCTTGTTCACCAATCCGTATTCTGTGACCTCTCCCATCCACTGTGCGCCACCTTCCAACCCCACACAGAAGGCTGACCGAGAACCCCAGAGTGGCTCCCCCAGCTGCCCCGCTCAGCCTTGCAAGGTCTTTACCTGTAAAACAGTGATTAAAAATCTTCTTGTCCTTCTCGAGGTTCAGTTCTCTGACTCCTTTTTCAGTGTCTTTCATGGACAAATACAAAGCCCTGCAGGGCAATGAAAACATCCAGGTGAGTGGGAAGCGTTCAGAACGGCAGTCCTCTCGGAGCGGCCACCCTGGAGAGGCAGCTGTGGGCACAGGCTTCACCCCTCCAGGTGGCTACTGAGCCTCCTCTCCACTATATCCCAGGTAGTTAGAGGGCAGAGGTCATATCTGCATAACTGTGGCCTACACAGCATCCAGCAAAACGTGCTAGAAGGTACTTAATGTTTCTGAAATTCATTAAGCTCTTTGTTAACTCCTGGTCCTAAAAGTTAGAGAGTTGCCCCTATTTAGGTGCCAAGATTAAAAGTTCTTAGGACCAACTTTTCATATATATTCTAGATCTTCATGTCCCAGTTCTTAAATGTGTTTAAGACACCATTGAGTGTAGATATTTGCCTCCAAGAAACTGAATATTTTAACTATGCTCATCTCTTATTCTAAGATCATAGGAGGTCAGGCAAAATAGTGAGATGTTCCGTCCTTGAAGTAAGAAAGATGGCCTTATCAAAGAAATTGCAAGTGCCAAAACAGAAAGCCCCTGTCATGAATTCTGTGACTCCACGTACATCTTTCCCCTTTAGCTCTGACAGCTGTGGCCAGAACTGTGGCCACTTGACATCCCCACTTGACAACCCCACCCGACAACCCCACCCAGCAGCTATGGCTTTAAGAGGCACCTCCCTTTGGGTCCTTGGTGAGAGAAGGTGTCATTCTCATCAGGCTCAATGTGCTCTATCGACATCCTGTGACATGCCCAATACTGTGTTAGGCTTGCAGAAGGGGTTTCTTCAGCCCCCTCTGAGGGGCCCTTTCCCCATTTTGCAAACAGAATCCTTGTTGGACATTTTAAGCAGCCAACATGGAATTCTTCCTGGCAGGGCTCCTGTTTCAGGGTATGCGTTACATAATAAACAAACCTAGCAAGAAGAAAAGAGACTCCTATAGAAAGGCCTTCATGTGACAGGAGAACATGGAAAACATGCAGAAGGAAGAAATCCTGTTACTAACCCTTGCCAGGAGCCTCTAACCACCGTTAGGCAACAACTATCGCCTGCAAGTCTAAGCCAGTCACCCTCAGAGACCATTAAGCCAGGTCAAGGTATAAAAGTCTTCTGCCCAGGATGAGTGCTCGCTTTGGCTGGCCCTTGCTGACTCTGTGAGTGTAAGAACTCGAACTTGAAACCTTACCTACTTAACACACATAGCCTCTGCCTTTTTCTACCTGTCTGGAGATTCTGAAGTTTTCTTTCAAAACTAAGTTACTATGGCTACTTAGTAAATGCAATGATGCATTCTTTTTCTCTCCCTGTCTCTAGGCCAAAGTTACCCTAAATGAGGGAATTTATACTCCAGTACTCTTCTTTTCTCAGCTGTAGGTCTTGGAGAAGCCAAGGTAACTCCCTCTGACCTGCTCAAACATATTACTGCACCAAGTGCCAGCATCGAGCTGAAAGAATGGGTGCAGCCCGCAGAGATGGCCAAAGCAAGCCTCGGAGCAGGTCTGTTGTGAAATTTCCTCAAAAGTGGGGCAATGTTAGGAAAGGGCAGAGGGAAGAAAATGCAGAAAATCACCCTAAGTCAATGGTTTCCGGCAGTCGGATGGACCTCCTGGTGGATTTCCTTGCAAACTTCTGGCCTCCTTCAATGCACTTAATGGCTTTCTTGATGTCCCGAACCCAGGCATCTCTCTCTTCCAGGAAGGCTGCCTGGAAGAACTGGTCCTGCTGTTTGGCCGTAGTGATCTTAAACACAAACTAAAAATCAAAACACATCCCATTAGGAATGACTCCTTTCAAGAGGCTGAGGTCCCTTATGAAGCACAGCAGTTGAGCCAGCCCTGTTCTGTAAGTGCTTGGCCACGAAACACCCCAATGCCCAGGGTGGAGTGTGGGTGGTGGTGAGAGGACTGAGCCCCAGGAGCACCATTCACATCCCAGGCTATGCACAGACTCAAAAGTCAGTGCCTGACAAGGTGCTCGTTGCAGTTCATGTTGTCAACTCACCATCCTTTTGCCAAAGTCCTGACAAGGGCTGGTCAGTGTGCTTCCTTTCAGGGGGATCATCCCTTTGGGGCTGTTGTCACTTTTCTTCTTGTAGAATTCAATGCCATCTTCTAACAGTACAACCCACATGGGTTTCCAGGTGTTGAATATGCTCCCCTGTAATGATGACAAAAAGAGCTGTGTAACAGTGTTTCTGAAAACTGTCCCATAGCTGGTGTGTGACTTGGTAAGATAGCCTAACTTTGGCCAGTGTGGACATAGGTGACCCACATTGGTGTGACCAGGCTGGTAGGAAAGCAGCCTTCAGGGGAAGGAGACTGCCTTTCTTCTGGAACTTTAATAATGTTTTTCAAGATAAAATGTATACACATCTATAATTAGCCCCTAAGCCTCTCAAGGGCCATTACCAAGGACCTGCTTCATGTACATTTCAGGCTGACTCTCTGTAGCTCATTTTCTGCTCCCAGTTCTGCACATTATGTTCAGTTCAGCTGATGGATGGCAATAGATTCTATCTCCAGTGCCAACTCAGACTGAAGAGTAGCTGGTACCTCAGGCTGGACTCACTGGAAAATGTCATGATCCAATAGCTGTATCAACATAAGCACAGAGACTGTAAATGGTGACATGCTAGCTGCAGTTACGGGCATCCTTTGGCCTAATGAGATTTTATTTGAATATGAATGTCAAGAAGAAACTCAGAGTGCAGCCTTGTATACAGGCATGGCTAAGTTTTATGAAAATCACTTGCAAAATGGTCTATAATGCCAGAGTGACATTATCCATGTCAACAGGGTTTTTAGGAAAACCCTTACTTAAAAATAATTTTCAGTTTGGGTTAAGGCCAACTGCCCCTTTAGAAATAAACTATCCATTCTGACTACATTAAGGAAGTCTCTGTTTCTCATCTATATTTTGGGAGGACTTTGAGAAAAGAAGAGAATAGGTTCTTTGCCTCCAGGCTTTGAGCTCCTATCACCTTGTCATGACTACCATGAAATAGAATTATCATCGAGTTCCCAGCAGATCCTGCCACTTATCATAAAAATACAAGAAGCCTCTATATAAAGGTCCAGTTGCTCCAAAGGAAGACTATTTATGCAAAGAATATAAATACTTAGAGACTATCATTTTACTTGTCCCTGTGTTTCCTTTGTTTAGTCACTGAAAAAAAAAATTAAAACACACTATCTCTTTTCTGCACAGGCAGAGTAACTTTCCATACTAACACTGGATTATTTCCCTATCCTTAAAAGTGAGCAAGGTCAGACACTATGCCAACACATGAAATAATTTCAATCAAATGCCTTTCTGTTTTTCATCTATTGAAGAGAAAATTGAATCGAAAATAGAAAGAGCTACTGAAAATCAATAAGAAAAATAAAATCTATTTCTTAAATGGCCAAAGACTGGAAGCGACATTTCATTAAATAGGATATCCTAAAAGACTCTGAAAATGTATTCAACATCATTATTCATCAGGGAAATGCAGATTAAAGCCACAGTGAGATGCCTCTACACACCCACGAGAGTATCCAAAATTTGATTGAGAAGAACAGGCCTTGGCAAGGATGGTAACTGAAACTTCCATATGTGCCAGCAGGAGTGCAAAATGGTACATCCAACTGGGAAACTGTGGTAAATGTCCTGATTCTTAGAAAAGATATTGAAGTATTTGGGGTGAGGTAGCACAATGCCTGCAACTCATCCTCAAATATCTCAGCATGAAAATACGTGTGTGTTTACACAGAAATCTACAGGTAGAGAGAGATAAAGCAAATGTGGCCATGTGTCAACACTTGATACATCTAGGAAAGAATACAGTATTATATATATGATATATTCATATATATAAGATATATATATATAGTAGTCATACTGTATTTCTTATTCTCGGTGGGTTTGAAATTTTTCAAAATAATTCAGAAAAAATAATAAATGAATAACACATGATACTACAACATAATAATATTTGGGATATGCTTTTAAAGAAAGATGCAACATCTATTTAATATAAAGTTCAAATAATACACATTCACAAAGTTAGGAATAAGAAGTTGGACTAGATGACTGCTAAAATGCCTTTGGAGTCTAAAATTTTATATTCTACCTCAGGCCTATCAAACAGTCACTCACGGTTTTTGAGTTGGAATTGGGAGGAATTGGGAGAGGTCAGCTAATCCCTCTCTCCTTCTGTAGACAATTAAAAAGATACACTGGAAGCAGCTGTGCAGAATGAGTTTGTGCTCTCCTAATTCAAATGTGGCCTCTCTGTCAGCTTTTTCAGAGGACAAGGTGGCCTTTGAGGAGGCCAATGCTCTGTAAACAAGAGAAATCGGGCCACTTATAAAGGGGAAACTTTCTTCCAGGTTTTGCAGAGGTCAGCGAGGTTAGGGTGATGGAATCATGGATGATCTCTTTCCTCTCCGCCTTTACTTCAGCCGCCAGCTTCTTGCTGGAGGAAACCCACCGCGCCTCCCCTCGGCTACACCTGCATTTACCGCGTCTGTCCCCAGCCCTCTTGGCACTCACCCAAGAGCAAGCCTGGACGTGTGATCATGGAAATTTACACACTACAGAGATACTTGGATTCATCTACCAACACTCTCATCATACTGGTAAGAGAGCTGAAGCCAGTTAAGCGACTGGCCTAGTACACCTGACCAATTAATGTGGTCATGTGGAACTGGCTCTAGAATCCTGATTCCCAATTTTATGCTCTTGAATTTGCCCTCAGATGCCATCTTCGTTTTGGTTCTGTCATAACTATAATTCTGGAATCTAAACCAATTTTGTAGGATACTTAGCTAGCTATATAAATAAAACCTCATATATATATATATATATATAATAAAACATATCTAAATCATAAATCATATCATATTAGGATTTTATGCATATATAATATTATGATTTTGTACATTATAGCACATGTCTGTTTTATTCTGTTATAGGTCAATCCCTATATAATTCCATGTCACAACAGGCAAGTTTTAGATGCTGGGTCAGATGTAATTTTCCCTGTGAAAACTGTTCATCATCACAAGACTGGTATAGTTTAGTGCACAAGAGTCCGACCAGGTGTGGCATCAAAAGAAGAAATCCTAAAGGATGAGATATTTGACTGTATAAAAAGCTTGAACTTCCATACATTTAAAAAAACCTGCAACAACTGAAAAGCTAATAAAAATGGATACTTGTACTATATTATTATATAAGTAAAAGCTGATATCCTTAATGTATTTATTAATATATTAATATTAATATTAGAATCACTAAGAAATATATAAACACTCCTAATTTTTTAAATAGGTGAATATAAAGAGGCAATTCTCAAAAGAAGAAATGCCCCAGTCCAATAAACATAAAAATGTACTGCTTCAACAAGTTTTTAAAATGTAAATTAAAATTATATAAGATAGAATCTTTTTCTTTAGTAAGATTTTTTTTTAAGATTTATAAAATGTATTGGTGAAAATGTGAGGAAATGGACATGAGGGGAAAAAAGGATCTCTATGAGTCAGCACTTTGATGTGGGCTGTCAAAAAAACCAAAGTCATTGTAGGCTATGTAAAGAGAAGCAGAGGATCTGAAGTGACAAGTAGTATTCTAATTTTCAGGGGAGCCTAACCAGTAGGAAACTATGGGTCTGGAACTGGATGACACAGGCTCAAATCCCAGTTCTGCCAAATTCTAGCAAATGTGACCCTGAGCAAGTTTTTAAATCTTATTTTCTGAATTTGGCAAATGGGAATAATGCTAGTATCTATTTCTTAAGGTTATTGGGAGATTAAATAAAATATTCCACATAAATTGCTTAGGGCAATATCTAGAACACAGTAGTCAGCCAATAAATATTACCTATTCCCTGTAATTCTGTGCTTACAGATGCACCTGGAGAATGACCTTGAGTTCAGGAAACCTCCAAGCTGCAGATAAACCAGAGCCTGTTCAAAAGAGAGAGACAAGATGGTATCTTTCTCTTGGGGGCTTGTTGAAGGAACTGGCTAGGTTTTAGCCCAGAAAGGGACAAGTAGAGCAGATGAGGACTGTCTTCAAAGGTATGAAACATTGTCATAGATTGTTTTGAATTCCCAATAGGTAGAGGTTTCAGAAAAGAGTTTGCAGCAGAACTCTTTACCACAGCTGCCTTGTCTTCCCAACATGATACTGGGAAATAATTCCCAGCAGTTGGCATCTGTAAATTCCTTGTCATCATGAGCTAACACATGTGCAGCAGGGCCAGAGCTAAGCTGTTAATGCATTCACACAATAACACTTATGACAACCCTACAGAGTGGGTACAGCTATTATCCTTACTTTGCAGATGAAGAAACTGGGGGATAGAGAAGCCAAGCACCTTGCCAAGGCCACACAGCTATTAAGTGGCAGAGCTGTTCTGGAACCCAGGAGTGTGGCTTACTCTGGTAAGACTGCCTCTTAGAATGCTCCATGGGACCATGAGACAGTGGGCTTTGCTCTTAGGCAAGCCTGCGTTTGAATTCCAGGTCATCCACTTACCAGATATTTGACTGTAGGCAAGTCACTTATTCTCTCTGAGCCTCAGTTTTCTCATCTGTGAGATGAGATACTCCCACAGAGTGGCTAGGATTGACTGTGATCCCGTTCCTACATGGCTAGCTGTCATGTGGTAGGCTCTAAATGCCCTTTTTTTTTAAAGTCAAAAGTGGCAAGACTCCATTACTACACCATTTGGAAATATCTTTCCCGAAGTCCGACGGACTTCATGTGACATTTATGACCTATCTGTACTAGGTCTCCAAACCAGTATTATTTCAGTTATACTTGGGAGTGGGGTAGGAGCTGAGAATTGCACAGAGAAAAAAAAAAGAAGACAACTGCACTGACTTTCTTTGTTCTTTGAAATATAACTACTGTGAAAGTATAAAAACTGTGTTCTGCAATGTTCCCCCTCACAGCAAGTAAATAAGGTAGTGAGTTAATTATTCATTACATTCCACTATCATGAAGGACTCTGGATAGACTTGGCCAACTGATGTTTACAAACCAGAATTTTGTATTTTAATTTTACAGATTTTACTACATGATTTTTCTAAATTACTAGGTCAGGTTGCAAAAGTCAGTGCAATAACGAAGCTTCCTTTTTAAGAGAAAATTGTTTCTATCACTTTCTCACTAGCTGTGTGAATAATCATGGACAGAAGTTACACTACTTTTACCATGTTTCATCTTGGCCTAATAACATGGTTATTTTTTAAATAGAAACTTTAATTTTTTGTAAATTTTTGAAGACTATTTTATTGAAGTGCATCTCTGCAGCTCCTCATTCACATGAATTTTTGCAGCAGGCTGTCAACATTCCACAAATGAACAAACATTATACCTCTTAGGACAGTTTTATTAAGTATGGAGAAATTGCCAATTTTTTTTAAAAATGCAGTTTTCCAAACTTTCCTGCCTACTTCTGACTGAATTCCATGCTGCTTTGGGCCATATACCTGATCTAGGTGGGTTTACCACTGATGGAAAAGTATTTTGATATCATTCACTTTTTCAAAAGATTCAACTTTTCCTCTATGCCTTTGCCAGATTTTCTTCAGGGTCCCTTTCAACAGCATATGAGCATTCATGTCTGTGTCAGGATGGCATTGCTGTGTTGGCCATCCCCTGAAAACCCCCGAAGACCATTACAAATTACAGTGATGAGTAGTATTGCCTATTTGGCGCCCGATGGTTAAGTCATTGTCACTTAGCTTTGTATTACCAGTTTTGATATTCATTATCAGTTGTGGACTTAGATGCCTAAATACTCATTTCTACCTTTCCTCTGTATCTCCCACTACACTTTTTTATTTTCCACAGAAAAAATATTTAAAGCATTGTTGGAGAGAGAGAAACTCATGTCTGTTGTCCATGGGTCACGTCCTTACTCAGTGGAGTGGTATTTAATATATTATTTTTGGTTTTCCCTCAGTGTCTTATATTAAGATTAACATATTAGTTGCTTTGTTGATGAATCTCCTGTTGGTGTTTTAATACATGAGATACCCTTGCCTTTAGGTGCTGATATTGACTGTTTTCTAGCAATGGGTTTGATTTGACAATAATATGTAGATTTACTCATTGAAATTTTGTACTGATGTGGCTTTAAAATGGTTTGTTCTGTGGGTTTGTGTTTAGAACTCACTGATTCTGGTGAGTTGTATGGGAATGAGGAACAGAAGAACTGATATTTGCTGGTGAATTCTTAAAATAGGCAAGGTACCCAGTGATAACTCCAACGAGACCACCCCTCTCTGCATGACTCTGAACATCTGCATGCCTGTTGTTTTATTGTGTGTATTTTATTTTTAATATATTAACTTTTGTGGATTCGTTTGAAGTCCATTTAAGAGTAACACTGTCAAAACCACTAAGATATATGTAAAAACTTGTGCTGTAGACTAGAATAAAATTGTTTCTTGGGTTACAAAAAAAAGTGGCAAGACTCTTCCTTAGAATGAAAAAGTTGCAAAATGACAGAATCATATATTTTCCCTCTTCCTCTTAACCATCATCTATATTCAAAGATCTTAGGCAGAAAGTGGTGGGGGAAATATGAATTGTAAAATGTGGGCAATTATCTTGCTCAGAAAAAAAGCAGAAATATTTTATACCCAATGCCCTTGATTGTTGGCCCAAAGATTTCTGACTGAACAAAATCCTTGTGCCAGCATTTTCTAATTCTGTATTTTTTCACAAAAATCTTACCTCTTACCTGTAGTAAAATTATTTCATAAAATAAGACATAAGGAAAAATATTCTTTATTACCATCCAGATATGTTAAACTGCATAAGAGAAAAAAGTGAGAGACTCATATATTGTTGCTTGTCCTGCCTTAACATTGATAACTATAGTTGAGACATTATTAACTTGGCAACCAGCCCAGGAACCCCATTAGCATCTAGAAGAGGACCCCTATCTGTTGAAATGTTTATCAGTACTGGCATTAATCATCATTCTTACATATGTAGCACCTACTATGTGCTAGGTTCCTGATATATATATATATATAGTTTTTAATCCACACACGTGAGGTAACTGAAACTTAATGCCCAAGGAAGTTAAGAACTTCAGCACCTTACTGAGAAATTATGGCTTCAGGTGTAGTTCTATAGCTGACAAAGGGAATATTTCTGAACCAAGCATCTCTTTAAAATGGCAAATTAAAGAATTTTAATACATTATGACAAAGAGTATTCAAATGTCCCAAAGATAAAAGCAGAAATCATGGAAGATTGAAACCAAAGACATAGAAATTATGGAAGATGTAAATCATGGAAATATCAATATACAATTACAGTTTTTTTCCAAGCACCTTTTCTAGATTGGCATTGATGGGCCATAATCTGAGAGAATTACTCCCACTGATCAAAAACTATTAATTTAAATATATATGCTTAACAACCTATTTTTATTTTTTTATATTTATTATTGATATATACTCTTATGAAGGTTTCACAAGAAAAAACAATGCAGTTACTACATTTACCCATATTATCAAGTCCCCACCCATACCCCATTGCAGTCACTGTCCGTCAGTGTAGTAAGATGCCACAGATTCACTGTTTGCCTTCTCTGTATACACTCTTTTCCCTGTGATCCCCCACACCATGTGTACTAAACATGATACCCCTCAATCCTCTTCTCCCTCCCTCCCCACCCGCCCTCCCACACCCCTCCCCTTTGGTAACCACGAGTTCCTTCTTGGAGTCTGTGAGTCTGCTGCTATTTTGTTCCTTCAGTTTTGCTTTGTTGTTGTACTGCACAAATGAGGGAAATCATTTGGCACTTGTCTTTCTCTGCCTGGCTTATTTCACTGAGCATAATGTCCTCCAGCTCCATCCATGAACAACCTAACTCTTTAATCCCCATTTTCTAGTGGAACAGTCTCACTTATTAGAGATCTAGTCTTCTACATTTTTTTGTATTCATAGAGTTTAGGATGTGAATATACGAACTTAATAGCAATATTTATTGCAAGATGTTTTAATTATTAAAAATAATTTTGCTGAAAATGTTTTTATTCACTTGTTCTTCACAGGATATTAGCCTTCAGGATCAGGAAAGAAATAAGTCAACATTAACTATGATGGTTCTCAATGAGAAAGTTGGTGCCTAGTGCAAAGAGACCACATATGCCTCTGTGTATATATTTGTCTTTTCCAAAGGATGTTTCAAAATATGGCTAAAGAGAATATCACTGAGGGCTTGTTTGTTGCCCAGCATCCACTTATAACTCTCACTATCATACATTACAAACCCTAACTTAGATTAAATTTACTCTAAGAAAATGCTGGTGTCCTGGACAGAGCTCAGTGCCATGAGTGAGAAACCCAGGAGTCAGAGAGTGGGTTTCGGGTCCCACCTCTGTCACATCTGTGTGACCTTGGGTTCCTGGTCTCAGTTTCTTTTTTCAGAGATGAGGGAAAGAGACCAGATGATCTAAGGTCCCTGTAGAACATTTTAGGCTAAAGTGTTCACCCAATGAATGACCTGAAACAGGGTCATAGTAGATGCCCATTCATTTAAAAAGCTGGACATCTGAAGGAATGTGCTGAATTCAGTTCTCTTCTACACACTGAGCTCACTGAGGATATTGTATAGAAACAAAACTCACATATATTTGTTTATATAGGTGTTGCCCACAGAAGGCCCAAAAGCCCCATGTGTGAACTCACACAATGACATGACACACACCCAACATCAGAAGGAAAACCAACAGTGTAACAAAATTCAGTTTCCTGATGTCATGCCCATAAGCCTAAGCATTTTCGAATAAATTTGTGTCCCTGTTTCCTAATCTTTAAAATGGTACATTTACCTACTACCTTAACAGCACTTTATACCAATTCACTAAGCATTGTGAATGAAGAGATCTCAGCCCGATAAAAAAAAAGATGTTTTCTTATGCATCAAATCTAGGAGGATGGCCCAAGAAATAGGCTACAATTACTGTGTCATTATATCAGCTTATCTTTAATCATTTTCTTCTTCCTCTTCTCCAAAAACAAAGAGGGGGAGAGGAATTTAAATAACAAATGAATAGTCTCTGAGTAACCTTCACAGCACAAGAGTTTGAGTTCTTCTAGCACAACGTCCAAGTGGGTTCTTGGAAAGGATGCTCTAAATAGTGAGGAGTTTTGCTTAGGTCCCCACCTTCCAGGCCCTGCAGTCTGGAATGTTTAGTCCCACAGACTCAAGCTGCCCTGATGCATGGGCTAGGGGCAGAATGCAGTAGAACATAAACTGGTTTCCCTCCTGAAAGTGTACATACTCTCCTGTTTCAACCGGATAGATTTAACATTAAACATTCCTAAATGAGTGGGCAGAGGCCCAAGCTGGCCACTAATCCTCCTCAGCCCTGTCTCCAGTGACACCCTGGAGAGGCCCGCTCTGCTTACCCTCTTCACAAGGTAGCCTTCTCTGATCCGCTTTGGTTCCATGTTGGATGGACAAACAGCCAGCCAGCTCCACTCTCAGACAAGTCCTCCCAGAAGCTCAGCCTCCTCTGAGAGCTGAGACAGTTGTGGACTGCTTTTTTATAGTGAGGTCCCTTTCACAATTTCCCATGTGCTGGCGATCACATGATCACATCCTCTTCCCCTCACTGCCCTGAAAGGTCAGAATGCGGAACTACAGAGAGAAACAGCCCATTCTTTGCTAATGTCAGGGACTTACTAAAAATACAGTTGGGGTGAATATTCACCCAAGGTAAATTTTTATTACCATAAAGAAAATCATCTTCCTAAAGAGAAAAAAAAATGTGAAGAGGAATATGAATAAGATAATCTTATTTTATTAATATTTAATAATTTGTCCCAGTTTAGGAATTATTCTTAAGATCCTGAGAATGCCTAATAAAAATGCTAAGAAATTCAGAGCCTTCTGCTTAGCATAACAAGGGTAACTACATTAAGTGAATGAATGCCTACTACTCTGCCACTACCCTAGTAGGTATTTTTTAGCTAACCTCATTTACTTGAGTGCTTACAAGAGTGAAGGACAGAACAAAGGAGCTTCCAGATTCACCCTCCTCCTTCCTTCCAGCTCTGGATCAAACCAGCATCCATCGCTTCTCTATTTTTCACTTTTCATTTTATGCTTATGTATATTCATAAAATCATAGATGGCTTGGCATCACTTTCTCATTGCACCAAAATTAGTAGAATGTTGTTTGAAAGTTTTGGCGGGGTAGGAGCAGAAGAATCAATATCTGATGGCACCTGAGCAAAACAGAAACAAATAAAGGAATGATTTGCCAGATCTGCATGTAAACAAGTATTTTGCTATGATGGTATTTGTATAAGCAGTGAAAACAGTTCATAGATTTACATGAATTCAAAATCTGATTTCAAGGCTAAATTTATCTTCTGTAGTTTAATTAGTCAAGGGACTTCTTATTTATAATGTTTCCTCTCTTTGTCATAATATGACTAGGTCTTCAAGAACACTTACGCAGAACATGTCATGCTCTTTGGATGCCTGCAGAATAAATGCACCCCTTGCATTCTGAATAATTCACTTCAAAAAACATGTGTTGAATGCTTACTATGTGCCAGGCCTTGGACTAGGTAAAAATATCTTGCCATCAAGGAGCTTGCCAAATTTGTTGATCAGAGGAACATTACCACGGATGGAATGGATGCTCCTCCTCCTGCCGCAGCCCATCCTGCCAGCTGACAACACCTAGTGGTCGTAGAGGAAACTGTCTAAACATTGAAGACTTCTCCCTTCTCTTACCAGAGTTTGAGCAAATGCTCTTCTGCTCTGTTAGATCCCATTCCCAGATCCAGCAGTTCGAACCTCTTCCAATATCTTTTTCATGTATGTGCGTCTAGGCTTACTTTGAAAAATCTCTGTCATTGTTTTAATTCTCCTGCATTTGATCAATACCTTGGAAACATTCTTATAGTACATTTTATTGGTGTAAAGAAAATTTGATTCTGTGGAATAAACAAAAAAGACTACTTGCCAGTCTCCAATGGAGAGCGATGCATTGTTAACAGCTCACTGTTCCAGGTTATCTGACAGATTCTGTGGAGTTTCTGCTTTTTCCTTGTATTTGAAATATTTTGCAACTGTGTAAGTTGTGGATAACTGATAGCAATGCAAATAATTCTTGTCTACAGACATGGAAATAAATTCTGACTGAGAGAGGTGCAGTAGTCTCCACTCTGCTCCTCTCCCTCACCCCACTCCACCCCTGTGGAAAAAGCCAGGTTTTTGTCCATCTGAAAATTGATTTTCACATTCCTTTACTCCATATAAATTTGCCCTGGATTTCTTTGAACCAGTAGTGACATCTGGCTGGTTCTGTCTTTAATTTATGGGCTAGATAAAATTTTTATTCCATTTTTATGTCATAATTCATTAAAAAAATATGTGTTGAATGCTTACTATGTGCCATGCCTTGGACTGGGTAAAAATGTAATTATTTAATTTATTTATTTATTGAACTATCACTGATATACAATCTTTTGATGGTTTCACATTAACAATACAGTGGTTTCAACATTCAACCATACTATTAAGTCCTCACTCCCTCTATTGCAGTCACTGTCTATCAGTGTAGTAAGATGTTATAGAGTCTTTTCAAATCAGGGATCTTGTTTCCTTCATGTAAATTCCTAGGAGTGGCATTACTGGGTCAAATGGTATTTCTATTTGCAGTTTTTTGAAGAACCTCCAAACTACTTTCCACAATGGTTGAACTAGTTTACATTCCCACCAACAGTGTAGGAGGGTTCCCCTTTCTCCACATCCTCACCAGCATTTGTTGTTCCTTGTCTTTTGGATGGTGGCCGTCCTAATTGGTGTGAGGTGATACCTCATTGTGGTTTTAATTTACATTTCTCTGATGATTAGCGATGTGGAGCATCTTTTCATGTGCCTGTTGACCATTCAAATTTCTTCCTTGGAGAAGTGTCTGTTTAAATCCTCTGCCCATTTTTTAATCGGGTTATTGTTTTTTGGGTGTTGAGGAGTGAATTCTTTATATAGTTTGGATGTTAACCCCTTAGTGAATAAATCATTTATGAATATATTCTCTTATACTGTAGGATGCCATTTTGTTCTGTTGATGGTGTCTTTTGCTGTACAGAAGCTTTTTAGATTGATGTAGTCTGACTTGCTCATTTTTTATGTTGTTTCCCTTGCCTGAGGAGATGTGTTCAGGAAAAAAGTTGCTCATGTTTATATTCAAGAGATTTTTGTCCATGTTTTCTTCTAAGAGTTTTATGGTTTCATGACTTACATTCAGGTCTTTGATATGGTTTTAGTTATTTATTTATTTTAATTTTAATTTAAAAATTTTTATCCTTTAGCATTAGTAACTCAGAAAAGACCTTACATTTGGCTGAAAAAATAGCAGAATACTTCTAGTGCTAAACTCAAATTAAGAGGAAGGTGTCAAAATCTGTGGTGAGTCAGAAATTTTACCCTACTTGGAATCTAACAAGAACTCAACTCTGCTGGCCTCCTGATCTCAGACAGCCAGATCTCCAGAACTGTGAGGAATAAATGTCTATTGTTTATGAGCCTCTGGGTCTGAGGTAGTTTGTTATAGCAGCCTAAACTAACTAAAAGATACACACCATACCCAGATCTTGAAACACTATTTTGTAATTAAAGGAAACATGGCTCTTTGGAAAAATAGCTGATTCTAGGTCTGGAGCAGGATATGTACAAGATGTGCCTGGAAATCTAGAAATGCCAGAAAGTAAGGAGGTGTTAAAACATTTTTAGATTAAAAACAAGCAGTAAAACCACAATGATGCATCCTATCAGAGGGACACAAGGAGGTAACCGAAAAATCCTGGTGGCCAAAGCTGGAACAATTTGAGCAAGAAAATAAAACAGAAAAGCCAGCAGATGTGAAAGAATTTGAGAGTTCCATTCATGCAGGATGTAGATGCAGTAGGGCCCAATCACAAAAGCACCTGTTTTTTTTCTCAGTGCTCCCTGCTGGGACTATCTAGCTTTCTTAAGCTCTTGGATGAAATCTTGGGCAGGTTCCACATATGTCCCAAGAACTCTTAGCTTTAAAAAAGGCATCCAAATCGCTCTAACAGTCTTATAACTCTAAGCCAATGTAATATGAAACACTCTAAACATTTTTTTAAATTTACGATGTTTCCTCACCTCCAATTTGAAACCTGGTGTGAAAGGGAAAGTTTCCAATCAGTTTCTCCATCCTGTCCTAGCTCTTCCTCCAACCCTCTTTGCTAGGTTGGATTTTCTGATCACTGCAGGTCTAGGGAGAGGTAGATATGGTGAAGGAGACATCACTGGGCTTGTCCCTTGGTAGGACATCTGGGACAGCTGCCTTAGCTCCTGGGCTTAGGGAGGAGAGAGTCTATGAGGCACTGTGCCTTAATTCCTAATTTTTGGACATCCCTAAAACTAAACTTGAAAAATTCTGCTTTTCATGATACCCTAAGGGACCACAAAAGATGCCCTACAGTGTAGACTCCTTTCAAATGGACTCATCCTGAGCAACCCTACTCATTCAGTTGCCCCAGAGCCTTAGCCCACTTGGGGCAGCCCTGGACAAGGTCTTGCCTGGCTAGTACAGCCCCCGACTGGCATTGGTGCCCCTGCATAATAAATGCACTGTGGCTACCTCCTTCTTTCCCAGGGTGTTCTTCCTTGTTCTGCCATCTAGGAATGATGATGACAATTTCCTAGGCATGGACAAGGTCTCCCTTCTGGCTGTTTCTTATCAATCCTCCCCCAGCCTCTTGAATGAGTTCCACCAGACAAGTTCTCCGTAAGCGATCCCTTCATCCCTCCTGTTGGTCTCTGCGGACAGGATCCTTTTTAAGCCATTCCAGGAAGGCTTCCCCTCAGGTGGCTTTGCTTTAGTGAATTTCTTTTGTCTCTGCTCCTACTGGGACAACTCCTTCCATGGCCTCCCTTCTCTAAACCTTTCAGGTTTGAAGCATTCTGAAAGTCCCCCTGAAGCCTCTCTCACTTGGTCTGAGATGATAGGAGCATGTTCTCTCTCAAATGCGGGGCAGGGTATAGGGAGGCGTACAGCGCATTGATCACACTCTAAAAAAATCTTTCCAATCTCAATATGCAGGCAGGAGCCAGGCAATTGGCTGATGTGAATAGAACCTGTTTCCTTTTTGCAAGTGCTACATGGATAGTTGAGCACAGGGGTCAGCAAACTGCGACCTGCAGGTCACACCCCCTTGCAACTTGTTTTCAGTAAGACAGATCAGCTGAGAAAGTTTTTCCCATTTTTAAGTGGTTAAAAAAACAAAGAAGAAGAATATTTTGTGACACGTGAGAATTATATGAAATTAAAATTTCAGTGCCATAAATAAAAATGTATTAGGTTCAGTCATCTCTGTTACATATGGCTGCTTTCATACCACCAAGGTAGAGTTGAACAGTGACAGAAATCGTATGACCCACAAAGCCTGAAATATTTACTATCTTGCCTCTCACAGAAAAAGTGTGCTAACCCCCTGATCTAGAAACACAGAATGTAAAGGTATTTAATACCAGTTAGCTCCTTTCTGGCTAAA